TGGGATGTGAGGGGTCTGTAAATATTTTTACAGCCCTCTTTTTGACTCATGCAGTATATAGGTCCTCGATGGAAGGCAGGTGGGTAGTAATTGTTTTTTCTGCAGTCCTAATTATCCTCTGTCTGTCCTGTTGGGTTGCAAAACCAAACCAGACAGTTATAGAGGTGCAGATGTTAGACTCAATAATTCCTCTGTAGAACTGGATCAGCAGCTCCTTGGGCAGTTTGAGCTTTCTGAGTTGGTGCAGAAAGAACATTCTTTGTTGTGCTTTTTTTATGATGTTTTTGATGTTAGGTGTCCATTTTAGGTCATGTGATATGGTAGAACCTAGAAATTTGAAGGTCTCTACTGTTTTTTATTCTATCATTTTTGTCATATTGCTATGGTTTGATAACCAATGTCTGATACTCCAAAATAAAAGATGAAAAGTAATAATGTTTCCAGAATTTCCATAATGGTTCAAGAGGACAGGCACTATTTCAAAGGATGGCAATAAAAGCCATAGATAATGTGGGGGGTGACTCCACTGTAATCCATGGGTCATTATTTGTAATATTTTTAATACCATAAATAATTTTTCTTTATTATGTTTATTATACTGCCTAGACAACAGGCTAGATAAAGGCTGGATTTAAAACTTGCCTTTAAAATCTTCCATGGTTTTAATGTTGCTGTTTTTAAATAAATTATTGGACATATTTACTAACTTCAACATATTGGAATGAAAACAATCTCAATATTACATTGTGAACTCAAGTATTAATATTTGCCATCCTTGAGGATCAAAAGAGTTATTGATTCTAACTATGGTAGGCATTTTGGATAAAAAATTGATTTTGATTCTTAAAAGAAATTGACATTTTGGTGTAATTCCCATTTAAAAGTGGCTGATTAAACTTTCTTTTGAAAAATAGGCTGAAATTGAATTATAACTGCAAATAAAGAGGTCATTAAAATTAAAATGTATTGTTAAAATTATTCAAGTTTTATTCCATGTGTTCCTGAGATATTGCCAGTTTATCTTACTAAACAACCTGGAGTTCCAACATCACATTAAAGGACATCTTGAAGTGTCACAGTTTGGTTATAATGCAAATAATTCTATTTGTAATTTCCCAATCAAAAGGATTAGAAGTCATGCACAATATCTGTAGAAATCTGAAACATACTTTGCATCATATCAAGGGTTTTTACTTTATCTAATGATACTAAAACATCTCTTTCATGTTTTATCAGTATAGGGAGCTATCATGTTAACTAAAAGTCTAAATATTATTTCATTGTTGACAGCTTTTCAGAAAAAGATTGGGCTGCATGAATTACTGAGGGTACTACTTTCTGCAATTTTTTGTAAGAAAAAAAATTAAAATGTTAACATCCCATATGTGGTATACAGGTATAGTATTACTATACATAGATATGCAAAAATTCAAAGCCTACACTGTGGTAGACAAAAATGAAAATGCTATCCACATGTATTTGTGCATGGCCAATGGCCATGCCTCAAAATTCTTCACTTGAAGTATAAAATAATTGTTATACATGAAATTTGGTTAATATTTTGGAAACTGGTCATTTTTACAATAAGCTCAATACTATTCTAATTAAAGTATTTTCCCTGAAAATGGTCAGCTGGAGCCCTTCAAGGTTTTAAAGGCAGCAGAAAACATGTTATAATCCATGATATAAAATATAGAAAAAAAGATAGAGAAGATACTTACACAAACATCACTCAAATGGCCTATTCTGATTTGTACACTTCCTGATGTAGTTGCTAACTGCAAGAATGCCTTACTCCTCCAGAAATAATTGCTTAGAGATTATTTTCATTACCAAATATAGATCTTGAATGCATATTAGTTCACTGCATATAACTCCTAGTTGATGTGATGGAGGCAAATATACAGGAGGTACTCCTCGACTTATAACCACAACTGAGCCCAAAGTTTCTGTTGTTAAGTGAGAATTTGTTAATTGAGTTTTTGCCCCATTTTACGATCTTTCTTGCCACAGTTGTTAAGTGAATCTGCTTTGCCATTGACTTTGCTTGTCAGGTTGCAAAACATGATCACATGACTCCAGAACACTGCAGTTTTCATAAATATGAGTCAATTGCCAAGTGTGAATTTTTGATCATGTGACCATGAGGGTATGCACAGTGGCCATAAGTGTGAAAAATAGTTGTCACTTTTTTCAGTGCTGTTGTAACTTTGAGCAGTCACTAAATGAACTGTTGTAAGTCAATTATCTGTATATATAAGCTAGCCTTATCAGAGATCCTAAGTGTTGGTATAGATGGGAAAAAAGTGGGCAATGGTTGTGCAAAGTGGCTACAATGTGCCCAGTAACTGGTACTATGCTTATTAATGATGTAGACTTAATTATAAATAAAATAACTAATATGTACACCAGAAAAGAAACATTGATATTATTTAGGTTGTTGTATATGCATACAAAACTGGTAACCCAAAGGTCTTATGTTACTTTCCGGGGATTACTGAAATTGCCAGAACCAGAGATGACTTCTGGGGGGAAATCTACAACATTATGAATGAATATGATCCAGGAGGGGAAAAAATATCCTGCTAGATGGCACAAATGGATGGATGGGAATATGAAGACAGAGCACAGGAAAACGACTGAACCACTCAGTGACTGAAGAATGAGTGAAAATAGTGATATCTGTGTAAAAAAGGATGTTTGTTTCCAATATGGTTTGTGCATAAGTCTATTAGAATAAAATTTTGGCTTCAGATCCAGGCTGGATCATCTAAGGATCACAGAGGTTGAGTTGCTTGGAACAGAGATGAAATTTATTTCAATAGCATGAAAGACAATCTCAGCAATTGAATATAGGCTATATAATAGAGTTAGTTACCTTTATACCTTTCCTTTATACCTTTCTTTGTAATCATTCTTCCATTATTACAAATACTTGTGAATTATATTAAATGTGAGATTATTATTTTTCTATGAAGACAGTTCACTTTTGATTAACACATTTGTCATATGCTTCCTGATGACATAAATCTATAGTATACTTGAAATGGACTGAAATACAATTCTTAGCTCTCTCCATTTATATGCACCACACAATACTATCTGACAATGCTGGCAGAAAACATTTATTCACAAAAAGCATCATGCTTTCTCATAAATATGCTGCTTTGCGTACTTCCATTCTGCTTCCAGAAAGTGAGGAAGCTCGGGCATTCATTGTGACATCACTCAGCTGAATTTATTGCATTGCCTGTACTATTTCCATCACTTTGTTCATCTAACTGCAATGTTATATTTATACAAATAAATGTTTATTTTGTTAACATTTGTTAACTTGTAGAATTCTGCTCAGACTCTAATTTTTAAAAAAATCTACTTATTTTGGCACATGCCACCTTTTGGGAGGACCAAGGGTCACATCTATATTTTAGAATAAAATTTTAAATGTTAACTTCGACAAGTGTTCTCAATCTCAGCAACTTTAAGATGTGTGAATTTCAACTCCCAGAATTCCCCAGTGAGAAATACTGTGTTGGTGGAACCAGAATGAAACCAAAGCAATTTATTTTGAATTAAAATTAAACCATTAAAGAATTAAACAACCTATTACTCTTGCTATATTTCATATTATCTACAATCCATTTTCATTTAATAACAGTTTTTAAGAATGGAGGCAACCTTAGACTCAATAGCATATACAATAAACAAACCGATATAACTAAATAACTATCCTGAGATTTGGGAAAAGAACACATAGTTCAAGAACCTCAGATTACACACTTATGCTACAAAACTGTGAGCTAACTTCTCTGGTCTCTTGTTCCTTTTTTTTGCTAACCATTTGTGTAAAAATATTTTTATTTAGACTTAACATAGTTGCCCATCTAGTGAGCCATAAAGGTGTGACTTACAGCAACAGTGGTACCCAGATAAAAAATTAAAAACCAACATCTCCCTCCACTCTTTCCAGCTCTCTGAAACAATACCCTTCAGTACCTAAATAATATCAATCATTGGGCCTCATTCTCATCCTGCTCCAAAGCCTAGGAGAAAAACCACCTTTTAAGGTCTTCCAAAAGGTAAGAAGGCTGGGGTCCAATTTTTTTTTTTTTTTTTTGCCTACCATGGAGACATCACCAGTTGAAGTGATGTCCTGGTTGTGACTAGGGGATGAGTGGAGAGGTGCCCATTTGCAGAGGTAATTGTCAATCATGGATTGATAGCCCTAATCCATTTAGCTGGAAAAAAAGCCCAAGACAGAGGAAATAAGTAAACATAATCAACTGATACACAAACCTCACAGGTGGGCAAAAACATTTTGGGTAGCACAAAAAGAATAAGGGTCCTCCTAAGTCTTGCACTTTTACAAATCTAATACCAGATGCAACCAAAAGTCTCAAAATCTAGTTGTTTCACTATGGCCAGGAAAGTTAACACTGCAACAGTCATGAGAATGAATGAGCAAAGCACCTGAATTTCGGCTACATGATCATGAATAACAACAACAACAATAATAATAGTAATAATAATAATATCATAACATCATCATCTTAGGGTTAATTAAAAATAAGGCAGCCCATTGAACCCACATCTTCATCTAACCCAGGACTCCAACCACAGGCTCCAAACCCTCCTTGCAAAATTAAAGCGTTTCTGGTGTTAAACTGCCACTTTAAATCCAAACGGAGGGCGGGCCCTGAGTAATTTGTAAGGCTACTTTAATCTCTCGGGCCCCGCCCTCCGTTTGGATTCTAACTCTTCACTAATCGCGTTGCTGCGCGAAAGGGAGCGTAGTAGCCCGTCAAGTTGTTTCCCCTCGTGGGTAGCCTATCCCAAACGCCTGACTCACTCGATTTCTTGACGAAGCAAAAAATTCAATAAATCAGGCAATATGCGGAACAGCCCTGAGTTGAACTTCTGCGCGGAACGGAACGAAAGGACCCCCGCGCCAAATTCAAGCGGAGAAAACGGAAAAGGCGCTAGACCGGCTGCGGTCGAGACGGTTGGAAGGGGAGGCAGCCCTGCCTGGCGGTGAGTATTTCTGCCCAGAGCCCCCTAAATCATCAGAGTCTCCTACATTATCAGAGTCCCCCTAAATTATTAGGGGCCCAAATATCCGCAAGTGGGTTGTTTTGTTTTGCTTCCTTCCTTTAAGCATCTTAAATTAATCAAAGAGCACTTTAGACCAGGGGTCTCCAACCTTGGCCACTTTAAGCCTGGAGGACTTCAACCCCCAGAATTCCCCAGCCAGCTGGGGAATTCTGGGGGTTGAAGTCTTCCAGCTTAAAGTGGCCAAGGTTGGAGATCCCTGCTTTAGACTGTCAAGGAAGTTTTTACTTCGATGTAAATCCGATTGAATCCAACACTTCTGATTCTGATTTATTTCTTTTTAATAAGCATATCCCATAGTAGAAAGCTTTAAAGGCAGGGTGGGGTATGTCAGAGGTGGATGGATCTGTAGGTTTTTTGGACTCTCCAATTGTTTGGCGTATGCTGGATAGGCAGTTTCAAAAATATCTAAAATACCTTATTGCAAGTTTTGGATTTTGAACATAGGCATCTTTATTACTGATCTTGTATAGATGCAACCTATGTACAGGCAGTCTTCGACTTACAACAGTTCAAAGATACAACGGCCACTGAAAAAAGTGACTTAGGACCGTTTTTCACACTTAGGACCATTGCAACATCCCCATGGTCATGTTATCAGAATTCAGATGCTTGGCAATGGGTTCATACTTATGACCATTGCAGCGTTCCGGGGTTGTGTGATCCCCTTTTTGCGACCTTTTGAGAAGCAAAGTCAATGGGGAAACCAGATTCACTTAGCAACCATGTTACTAAATTAACAATTGCAATGGTTCACTTAACTGTGGCAAGAAAGGTCATAAAATGGAGCACAGAACTCACTTAACAAATGTCTTATGTAACAACAGAAATTTTGGGCTCAATTGTGGTCATAAGTCGAGGACTATCTGTATATTTATTCATAGACAAGAGTGTGGGTTGAAGCCTAAATACTCCAAGAATTTTGTGGGTTTTGTCTTAACTCATGTTGGGATACATTTTTTGCCAAATGTTTTTTTTTAAGATATGCTATCAACTCCCCATATACAGTATATCTACATGGCTACAAAGCAAATATTAATTGCTCTCGTATAATATGGGAGGTCTAATAATGATGAAGTCAGTGGGGTTTAATTTGTTGTTCTTTTGCTATCAAAAGGATGAATGTGATCCATTTATATAGAAATGATCCATTTCTACTTGTTAAATTACACATTGTTCAATTGATTGAGTAGTAATTGCTTTTGCTACACCTAGCTGTTGGGTTATATTTAATGGATTTTATAAAGCAGGCGTATATTTTGAACTGCTGAATAATGGAAGAAATGTTTATTTTATAGGTTGGAGGTGAATTTATTTGTAATCTATAGGGAAATAAGCAGAAATGTACATCAGGTCAATTGTTCTTGAAGGTTTTAAGTCTTACGCTCAAAGGACAGAGGTTAATGATTTTGATCCTCTATTCAATGCTATTACCGGCTTAAATGGAAGTGGCAAATCAAACATCCTGGACTCCATCTGTTTTTTATTGGGAATCACCAATCTGTCACAGGTAAGTATTTATTGGCTACCTTTAAAAAAAATCATGCTAGCTCTGAAGTACATTTTAGGAGGGTATTCTTAAAATTCAATATAAATCCTGATAATGTATTAAGCATCAATCTTTATTTCCAAGAGAATGATAATTTAACATGCCAAATTCATCTAATAAAAGTGGAATTGTGGAATTTTGGCCATGGGCCTTTTCACAAATAATTTTTATAAGCAAAATATTTTGAGAAGTGCAGACTCCAATAATCTTTTAAAATAAAATTTGCCTACACCATATCCCTTAAAATGGGTTTATCTTGTCTCTTAAGTGAACTGAATTATAGATTGGAATGATAAGTTGACAACATATGTAAAATGTACAAAAGGTTTATACAGGAGCATAATATTTGTTTTAAATAAAGTCAGTAAATTTATTTTGTGATGCAATCCTATAACCCAAGCATCCCTTATCTGTTTATCTTATTGGTATCATTTTGTCTTAAAAATGCATTTTAGGTGAGAGCTTCTAACTTGCAAGATCTTGTTTACAAAAATGGGCAGGCTGGAATTACTAAGGCTTCTGTTTCTATCACTTTTGATAATTTTGATAAGAAGCAGAGTCCACTAGGATTTGAGAATCATGATGAGATAACAGTCACAAGACAGGTGAGCCAGTGTGATGTGTTAAACATTTCTGTAAATGATGTCCTTACAGTATTTTTAAAAACTTGATGCAAGTAGAATAATTAAAACTTTGCATCTTGATTTTTTTCCCTAATAGTTTTGAAGGGAGGTCACTTTTAACAAAGTGTATGCTAAATAGTCAATTTGTTTGAGATGCCAGGTGAAACACGCTCATAGTCCTTTGTCATTCATTTTCTAGGTGGTGATTGGAGGCAGAAATAAATACTTAATCAATGGTGTCAATGCAAACAATACCAGAGTACAAGATCTCTTCTGCTCTGTTGGATTGAATGTCAATAATCCTCATTTTCTTATTATGCAGGTAATGTAGTATATACGTTCATAACCTTCCTTTCTTTTTTATTTTATTGTCCTTCTAGATTTTGAACTTGTGGTGCTTTTTATCATTTAATATGCCTTTTCCCTATTTTTAAGCTCATCTTTGTCAAAACCTAATTAGTTTCTGCTAATTCAGCCCAGAATTAAACATATGATCTTTTGTTCTTCATAGTTGATTGTATGCCTCTAAGCCAGGGGTGGGCAAACTTTTTGGCTCGGGGGCCGCATTGACTTTTAAAATTTGACAGACGGGCCGGGTCAGCACAAGATATTTTGGGAATCGCCCCCCCCCTTCCCCCCCTTCTCCTCCTTCCCCTCCCCTCGGAGGCCCCTGAGTCAGGAGTTGCTACCGCCGGCGCGGCTCCGCGTGGCTCCAGTCCCGCGTTGCCTCTGGAAGGGAAAGGCAAAAAGGAAGAGCCGCGGCGGTGCTTTGCAACGGGAGCAGCGGCACCGGAGGCTCAGGCTCAGCGGCTCCTGGTTTTGCCTTTTCCTTCCCAAGGCAACGCGGGACTGGAGCCGCACGGAGCTGCGCCGGCGGTAGCAACTCCTGACAGCCCCAGCCGGACACCTGAGCGGAGCCCGGGCGAAACTGCCGGTTGCTGCTGCCAGAGCACCACCGGGTCGCCTCCTCCAAGCAGCCGGCCCGCCCACCGGGCTTCCCCTCTGCCGCGCGGCTCGGGGCCAGGTGCGAGCGCCCGCAAGTTAAAAGGAAGCCGAAAGTTGCTGGGAAGTTGCTCGGGTGCTGGGAGCAGGCTTTTAAAGTGCCGTGTGGGAATTGCTATCTGTTTCCTCGCGCGCGTGCAAGGACAACGGG